CAGAGCTTATCCACAATTACCTACAAGAATATAGTCCAAGTGAACATTCAAAAGATATTTTCAAGCTTCTGGACTGCAAAGGACTTGGCATCAACATCAATGGCGAGTACTTAACACACCTTCGATTTGTTTATTTATTTATTTATTTATTGCATATCACACATGAAGCTTACAGATAGTACTTACAATATAGGGCAGTTAATATGTGACGCCCTGCAAGGGCACAGCAACTGTGGAAGACAGTCTCACATTGACATTATTAATACAGCAATTTAATTGTATATACAATACAATTTATTAACGTTATGAGTTATCAATCAAATGTTAGAACTAAATAATCATTTTATCAATTCGTCAAAAGATATACATTTTTCTAATTGTATTAAATAACAAATGTCAATTAAACATTATAGGTAATTAGAATCTTTAATTAATTATTTTAAATGTAAAGTCATTGTAGCAAATCGTCAAAAAATTCTTTTAAATTATTTACGAATAAGGAATATTTTTAATACTTTGCAAAACTCTGTAAATTTTTGGAGATTTTTAATACTATTAGGGATATGATTATAAATTTTTATTAACATAGTGTGTGGGCCAGACAGACCAACTATTTTCATTTTGGGGAAGGGGATTTTAAGTTTGTTCATGTTACGGTCATTTCTTTTATTATTCTCTAGAGGTGAATAGAATTGGGGATGCTTTCTAATGAATTTACACGATTCCAGAATGTAGATGGAAGTAAGTGTAAGAATTTGATTTTTAACAAAATAGGGGCGACAAGATTCCATTTGTTTAATGTTGGTTATTATTCTTACACACTTCTTTTGTAGTATGAATACTTCATTTATCCCACAAGAATTCCCCCACAAAATGATACCATACGACAATACCGAGTATGCAAATGCATAGTAAGAAGTAAGGGCACTCTTAGAGTCCGTTACACGTTTGAGATGCAGATGTCCATAAATAAATGAGTTTAATTTGTTAACTACTTTTTGTATTTGTTTCCAATTTAAATTTGTATCCAAATTAATTCCCGGTAGTGAAGCCGAGTTTACTGTTTCTAGCTCAACATTATTGTACTTATATGATATTCGCAGTGCAGTTTTTTGATGTGGTCTAAATTGGATAATTTTTGTTTTATTTAGGTTAAGTTCCAAATTATGCAAATTTAGCCAGTTTACAATTTCATCCAGATTTAAATTTAATTTTGTTTCTAAATCTGTACTATTAAAGCATGGGATTAAGACGGAGATGTCATCAGCAAAAAGAACACAAGAGTCGTCTAGAATATTTGGAAGATTATTTATGTAGATAAGGAACAGAATGCATCCCAAAACGCTACCCTGTGGAATAGAGCCAGTTACAGCAACTCTATCAGATCTAATTTGTGTGATTTTTCCAGTCTCGAAATCGGTGTTTTCTATTTCTACACATTGGAAGCGGCTATTCAGGTATGAACTGAACCAATTGTGGGCTACTCCCCTAATTCCTGCCTGATATAATTTATGTAGTAAAGTCTCAAAACATACTCTTTCATAGGCTTTACTCATATCGAGTAGGAGACCGACAGCAAATTTTTTGTTGGCAATTTCCTGTAATATATTTTTTACATATTTATAAATAGCTAAAGAAGTCGAATGATTCTTTCTAAATCCGTTTTGGTTTTCATGCAAAATTTTAAATTTTTCAAAAAAAGAATATATACGGTTTTTCATAATCAATTCGAATATTTTTGCCGATGATATAGTTCTTATGGCTGAGACCTTGGGAGACCTGAACACAATGCTCGAAGATCTCAGTAGTGTTTCGTTTCCCAAAGAGTGGGTCTTAAGATGAACATGGACAAGACGAAGATCATGTCGAATGTTCATGTTGTACCCGCTCCAGTTAAAATTGGGAGCATTACACTCGAAGTTGTTGACCATTACGTATACCTGGGGCAGACAGTCCAGTGAGGTAAGTCCAACTTAGAGCAAGAGATCTCTCGTCGAATCCAGCTCGGATGGGCAGCGTTCGGGAAACTACAAAAAATCTTTGCGTCCAAATTACCTCAATGTCTCAAGACGAAAGCCTTTGACCAGTGCATGTTGCCAGTGATTACATATGGATCAGAAACGTGGTCCCTCACTATGGGCCTCATAAGAAGGGTCAAGGTCACTCAGCGGGCAATGGAGAGAGCGATGCTCGGTATTTCCCTACGTGATAGAATCAGAAATGCGGAAATCCGTAGGAGAACTAAGGTAACCGACATAGCTCGAAGAATTGCTCAGCTGAAGTGGCAGTGGGCGGGGCACATAGCTAGGAGAACCGATGGCCGTTGGGGCGGAAAGGTTCTTCAATGGTGACCGCGCACCGGACGACGCTCAGTGGGTAGGCCCCCCACCAGGTGGACCAACGATCTGGTGGAGGTCGCGGGAAGCCGACGCATGCGGGCAGCGCAGGACCGATCATCGTGGAGATCGTTTGGGGAGGCCTATGCCCCGCAGTGGGCGTCGTATGGCTGAATGATGAACATTCAAAACTTCATTTAATGAATATTTTAAAAGGGTGTGTAATGAAAGATATAACAACAAATAATCTATTTTCACTTTGTATAACAACATTTGATATAATTATAAAGGGTATAATCACTCCCTGTACGTAATCAACAAAAGCTATAACAATAAAAGGCATAATTTCAATGTGTATAATAAACCTTTAGAATAACAAGCACTAGATACAATGATTAGGTGACATAATGAACAAGTGGTACAAATACTACCAGTATAACGTATTAAATAATACTTATAACACAATATTTCGTTTTACGAATAGTTGAACCGGCCTATATTATGTTGATAAGAATTTTTTTATTTCATTAAATGTACAGTCGCAAAATACAATTGCTTTTTATATCTTTAAGTTCTTTTTGTGTTTTAAAGTATATTTATTAAAACTTTACGCAGAACATTTAATTACACTAATCTAACCTAACCTAAACCCACAGGAGGTCGAACCAGCTAGCAAATGCAAACAAATTCGGTTCTGGCACTCTCCGGCCGCTGTCGCGACACGCTCGCTGTGCTCGCTCGGCTCCTACAGCTTTGTTATATGTCCTCGTGTGGGTTTAGGTTAGTATCTAACCTAAACCTACACGAGGAGATCGCACTAACTAGCAAATGCAAACAAATTCGATTCATTCACCAATGCACCTAAACACCAATGGAATTATATTAATAATAACATTATACTCAGTGAATGTTATATCTGAAGTGTTTATATAAAATGAACATTATGCTATCGGTATATTAGATTGAAAGTTATATCAATCGTCTATTATACGCAGTGACCTTTATATCATGCAAGAATATGTCGAATGTCTGTATACCATAAATTAATTATATCCGTTAAGCGTTATCTAGTCTAAAAATATGTCATTTGTTGTTATATATTACGAACCGCACCCATTTTAAAAACGAAAGTTAACTTTAACTTTTTACAAGCTTGCCCTATCCACCTAATTGAAAATATCGATGACCTTGCCGAATCTGTTTTTTTCATTTGTGCGAAAAGATTTTGTATACTTGCGAACAGAAAATTTTTAAACGAAGCGGTGAAGAAAAGCCTTTCAAATAAAATTTTTCTGCTTTGGTCAGGTATAAAAACGTATAATATTGTCGGTGTTTTGTAGAAATGGCGAAAGAGACATTTCGTCTATTTTTCAAGAGAGCATGTTTAAATTGCGTGCGTGCTTGCGTGCGTGCGTGTATGTGTGCGTGCGTGCGTGTGTGTTAACCTGTTGCCATAGATTAGGAAAGTAGGGTTTTTAAAGCAAGTGTTCTAATAGATCTTCGGTTCCTTCATGCGATTTCGACTGTAGCCATTTTTATATAACTTATTTGCATTCTCTATAACTTTTGGTGGATATTTCTAACTCCTTATTAATTAAATTGTACAATGGACCGATTGTTTGCTGAATTGTCTGTTTGCAAATTTTATTTACTTGTAAGCTAATATTAGTTGTGTTTACTTTAGGTACTTGTACCACAATGTCTTTCCTTCTCCTATTTGAAATATAATATAGTAATGATTGTTTTAAAATATTTACGTCCTGTTTTAAAATTCAATTTGGGTTTTCAGTTTTAATATTGAGTATTAAAACAGGACGTAAATGCTTTAATACAGTTTAGGCAAGCATGTTTTATATTACCATTGTAATATAAAACATGCTCGCCTAAAATCGACGAAATGTCACTTTCGGCCTTTCTACAAAATACCAACGATATATCCAAGTGGATATACTGCAGTGCAAATTCAAATTTGGTGCCATATTAGTTTAATTGCTCACCTACTGGGGCGCTAGTGTATGTACTTAAATTTTTCCATCATAGTCGTAAAATTATGTTTGATGGGTTTGTTATTTTTTACCTACTTATCATTCTTTCCACTCTAGGGTAAACGTATTCTTTGGGGGTACCACCAAGCCCAAGAGTACATGGTACCGCCAATCGCTGTTGCCAGATTATGCGATTTTTCGCCATTCAGGCTACTTTGAGGGGTCGCGCGGCGATTAAAAAAGTGGTGGGCGACTCGGCGACATTTGAAATAAAAAGGGCGATTTTAGGCTACTTAATAAAATGTCTGGGGAATTACAAATTTTATTAGGGATTTTGTGGTGATGGAGTTGTAAAATAACTCATTTGGGAGTTTGATTATTTCGACGTGTAGGGAATTGCTGCCGGAACATTGGGGAATATGAACTTTCTTATTTTCCCAATTCCCCAATATCCGAGCAAGCAGAATTGTAAAATTGTTTTTCTTGATTTTTAGGGATTTTATGGCTTGAGCGAATATCGGCTACTTAACATACATAAATTGGCAAATTAACTTCACAAAATTCTGGCAACTCTGACGCCAAGAGCTGTGAAAGAAAACCAATAAAAAAATAATTAAGCAAAATACGAAGGCACATTAGTTTGCGATTCCTTTTCGAAATAAATGATTGGTTTAGAGAAACTGAATTATTTGTTTGCACTTTGCAGTTTCTACAAAAATTATTTAATAGAGAATGTTTGATTCGATTATTACTTCTGTTTGATAGTTTATTTATCATCTTGCGAACATAAGAAAACTGAATCTTGAAGAAGAAATGAGTAGAGCATACCCAGTTCAAATGAAGAAACTATTAGACATCTTAAGCCAAGACGGAGTTCTAGTTAACGGTAAAGTGGATTACAGCAACACAACAAAGCAAGCATTTTGGAAACATGTGGCAAATAAACTTAATCGTGTTGAGAACGGGGTGCATAAGAACACTTGGCAATGGTGTAAAGTGAGATTTATTATTAATGGTGAACATTCTGAAGTACCTGAATTCTAATTCTAGTAGTAAGTAAATTTATAAGGAAATATTGTTCGAATTACAGGTCTGGGCTGATTGGAAAAGCAAAGTGACAAAAAAAGCAAATATTTTACTTAGAAAAAAGTCCTACAATAACCTAGAAAGGTATATAACTACTCCACTGTCTAATATTGAGCTAAGACTACTTAGATTGGTTGGGTATCCTTTAGAAGAATCTACAGAGGCTTCAAAAAATGGAGAGCAATTGGTAAGCAATCTTAATAAACAATAAAAAAGTATTCACACCAGGGCCCCAGGGGGTCTACCACAACCTCTTAGAATAATATTACTTTAATCTTACATTGACTTTTCGTACCATAACACATTTAAAGTAAGCTTATTTTAATGTTGAAACTATGGTTTTATTGGAAGCTTTATGACTATTCATCACTCAGTTCGTACTATGACACAACTATCACCTTAAAGTAATATTGTTCTTATGTCAAATTTAGCAATCTTAAAATAGTTATACAGATGCAATGGAAAGAAAATTATTTTCGAATTTATTGTCTAAATATTGATTTGTTATGATTAAAAAGTAAGTTGAAAATATCTCTTTAATATTTTGTTTATTTTTTATTTAATAGTATATAGGAAATAATTTCTCAGTAAATAAAAATATGCGATATTTATTTTGTAAAATTATGACAGTGACATCTATATGCTCTTTGGTGACACTAGCAGTTGACACAACTGTAATTCCGAATTCACAACATGGCAATCAAGACTGCTTGTTTTATTTATTTTTCTTCATGAAAATGCAGAAAAATTATTGAAAACAATGTAATTTTAGTAGATTTCATTATTACATACTTTTCCTTTTTTAGTAGTGAAAATTATCTGAATGTAAATAATATTAAGTACGTTAACATTATACTATGATAGGACAATTCGGAACATCAAAAAAGAAAGGGACGGCATTATACATTTAATATAGCGTTATTTCCTTAGACTATGGACACCAAAGGATATGTTATATTGACATATATAAATTAGACGTTATATGTCTAAGATGCATTTAGACGTTGAAACCATAAACCTTTTTGTCTTTGTTTAACTACTGCGTGCCGTCATAAGCCAAAAGACATAGCACTACATTAATTTATGTCAAACACGGGATTCGAAAATATGTAACGTCATCTTAAATGCCAACTGTCCTCATTTTGCCATTTTTGTAGTACCCTTTGGTAACCGTTTCCGGTTGTCAAAGGTAAGTACATCAAATATCAAAACCAATGTTTGGCCAAATGTTTTAGTGAATTATTCGCATGAATTGTAATGAAATGGACAAGAATATGAGAACAATTAAGTATTGATAAAAATGCGTCGCTGCAGCATTACGGGGTGCAGCAGTAGAAAAAGCGAAAATCAACCGAATGTTACATTACACCGGCTGTGTTATTTTTCTTATTTTTCTTTCAGTCACTTCAGCAATAACACATTACTTGGTTGATAGTTTTGCCATGGTACGAATAAGTAATATTATAATATTACTCATATTCGTACCATATAAATTAAGCTTATTAATATTATAATAAGCTTACATTGAAATAAGATTGTTTTTTTTGACAGGTTATGGTAGGCCCCCTGGACTACTCTACTCCATCACCAACTTATAAAGAAAATGTGATATACATAAGTACTTGAATCTTTAACTTTTTGCAAATAAACACTATGTGAGTGGTCTGTGTTGTTAAAAAACCGAAAATTTGCAAAGAACTTACAGGTTGTTAACAAAACTGAGGCACCAGACACAAACAGTGAAGATATGCATGTAGAGTTTCTGGACGAAATATCAGGAGAGGAATACAATGGACCTTACTATGTGGAACCCAAAGACAGCAATGATGTTAATATTGAAAATATTTTTAGTGAGTAACTTTAATTATTTACCTATATTTGGTTTTCGCGATTCTTACACATAGGACATGAAAAAATTTTTTCAGATCTGAATTGTGAAGCCGGGTCGTGACCCCAACTCGCTATCATCGTTACGCCTTATCTCTCTGATGTCTTGCTCATGCAAACTCTTTCATTTCATCCTTATGAAAAGAATTGAGTGGCACGTGGAGAGTCGAGACTTATTATCTCCTCCCTCAGTTGGTTTTAGGAGAGCTTGTTCTAGTCTGGATTGTCTTTCAACAATTGTTTTAGATATAACTTTGGGTTTCTCGCAAGGGGTCCCAACTCTGGCTTACTTTTTACACGTGTCTAACGCTTATAACAATGTTAGTATCTCTTTTCTGGTAGAAAGCCTGAAGGGTATTGGAGTGGGGGGAAAAAATCTGTCGATATATATGGAACTTCTGGACTAATGGAATATTTATACTGGACTAATATTGACTGGACTGACATTGGACTACATATGTATATCAGAGGAGTAAAATTAAGGCCTGTTTATTTAATAGATCCAGAAAAGAATTCAATTTAGAATTAGACATAACTGGTGTAGTAATAAATAACCATAAAAAAAATTAAATATCTGGGCTTATGGCTAGACTTCAAGCTCCTTTGGAACTCTCACATAAATGAGTTGTGTCAAAAGATTTATAAACATCTTAATATTTTAAAAGTACTCGTAGGTAGCTCTTGTGGCGTTCACCTTAAGTTTAAGAGAAGGCTATACATTTCTCTTCTAAGAAGCCGAATCGATTGTGGAAGTTTTCTGTACGCTAACTCAGCGAGCTGTCACTTACGAAAACTAAACCTCTTACAAAATAAAGCCTTACATATCCGTGGGGGTTTCATTAGAACTACACCGATACATGTAATGGAATATGAGTTGGCCATACCACCTTTGGCTGTGCGTAGATACTGGTTGACACATAAATTGGTTATCCACAGTATTTCTCACTAATAAAGTAATTGTACAAAGTATTCAAGATCTTCCCGCAGAATGTAACATAAATAGTTACTGGAATAATAAGGCAAAACCAGCTTTAACTGAAGCTTGTAACAAAAATAACAAATTGGAAAGGCTTTATATGGAAATTTGGATGTCGTACATAGATATAAATAACTGCATAAAAGACAGGATATCCAACCTGATCACTCCCAAGGGACAATGTAACATGGTGTATTTAAATAATTGTGTAAATAGTTTTTTACCTCTTGAATACAGTGGCTACTATAGGATTTTTACTGATGGTTCCAAGGACATCAGTGGTGTTGGCGCGGCCTTTTACGACCCGCAACAAAATGTATCATTAAAACTTAAATTGTGTTATGAAGCATGCATAGTGAGTGTGGAGTTACTTGCCATAGTGGAATCTTATCCTTTGTTAGTACTGTGGATTCAAACAAAATCGTTATTCTAAAAGTGCACTTCAGCACTTGGTTCGATGTGTCTTTCGAGGTACAGGCATGCCGATAGCATATGAGGCATTAAAATTAATGACTAACCTATTGTCCAATAATATTAACATAATACTTCAATGGATACCATCACATATCGGACTTCTAGGAAACGAGATAGCAGACAGACTAGCAAGAGAGGCTATTTCCGAGCCGTTGGAACCGTCAGGTATGCCCTTTGCCACAGAACTTATCCCATTTGTAAGGGACCTAAATATGGATCAATGGGCTAAGAGCTATGATGAGATATCTGTGACAAGGGGTGTATGGTACAAAACTATCCAATTGCGTCCTCCAAGAAAGCCCTGGTTCGAGGAGAGTAGCCTATCCAAGTCACTGTTAATAATTGCTCGAAGACTGCGTTCTGGTCGCATTAAATTAAATAAGTTTTACTATCTCATGAGAAGGGCAGAATCCCTTCAATGCCAATTCTGTAACAAATTGGAGGACATGCTTCATTTAATGGAATGTGATCGGTATGCGGGCTGTCGGGCCCAATATCAATTGAAGGACATTTGTCAGGTGGGAGAGCTAAATTTAATGCTGAGCAACCCGTTGACGAAGAGTGCTGAAGCTCTATACTCCTATGTGAGCTCTTGCTTTCTGATGAGGAGCAATACCTCACGTGGGAGTAGCGACACATAAAATAGGATACTTATTTATAATAATATGTATACATACATTACGAGACTGACATAAACGCCCGAACGTTTCAGACCTCTTAAAACTAAATTTAAAAAAAAGATCTAAATTGTGTATATCTGGTTTGTCAAACAAAGCAACGTTTCGAGTAGTAATAATAATAATAATAATAATAATTCATTTATTCGCTTCAAATAGGGTAGGGTACATTACACATGTTGATGGTAAAAATTAAATCAGAACTTAAACCTATTCGGCCTTCTAAAATAAAAGCATGCAAATACAATAATAAAATAATACATTGGTGGATTGAGATTCGATTTTAAAACAATAATTAGGCAACAAATTGGTAAATTTAAGATAATTGATTTAATTTGATATGTCAGAATCGTGTATGTCATAATTTAATAATAATAATATATATATTTTTTTTAATGATGGGAAAAATGTATGCATCAATTAATTATTCTTTGTGATTCATGAATTCGTCAATAGAGTAAAACAAATGATCAAAGAGCCACATGCGCAATTCCTTTTTAAAATTAGTCAATGGTAGAGGCTTAATGCGATCTGGTATACGATTAAAAATTTTTCCACACATTACATACGAGTTATTTAGAAAACGTTTTGTTTTGGGTATTGTATTTAGTACGACTTTATTGGGCTTCCTTAGGCTTCTGAATGTTACGTCCTTCGCTATTAAGAATTTCGATAGATTTCGTTTCACGAATATACCAACTTCGAAAATGTACAGGCATGGGAGGGGCAATACTCTTTAGCCCGTGACGATGGGACCTGTAAAGCGCTCTAAATGTTGGTTGGTTTGAATAAATAGGTATACCCATTTAAGACTCCTATAACTCTAATTATTTATTACATACTTGTTAGAACTATCCACGGGAGTATAATGTGCTTTCTAAGTTGTCATTAGCCATTGCGAAATATTTACATTTGAGAGAGCAGTTTCATAAGCATTCCACATGTATATCACATTTTAGATGACAAGCCATTTCAACATTTGGATGAGCTTCTGGAGTCAGACCAGTCATCAGATACAGAAACAACAAAAACTAGAAAAGGTAAAATCCTACTAATGTTTTTTTTTGTTTTGGTGTTTAGTTGTTAGAGGTGTTTAGTTATTAGATAATCTATTTATTTTAGAATTTAACATCTCATTATAAATCTACCGGTGGGAGGAAACTTGCTATGGAGTTATAGCAATCCGCAATTTATTATTGATGTATGTATCATCATTGGCACTATATGATACTAAAAAACTGTTACAGTAACAAAAGCGAAAAAGAAATTAATAAGTATAGAGAAATATAAAGTCAAAGCAACAGTAGCATTACAAAAAGAAAAAGCATTGCAGAGGAGAGAAGAACTGCGATTGAAGGCCATAGAATTGAAGTTAAAAGAAGAAGAATTAAGACTGAAGGAAAAGGAAATGAGTAAAGTAAATTATCTGACCAATATTGAAGAGGAAAAGCTGAAATGTTTTCGTGATATCAATATGTCTTTGAAGGAGTGAGTTTCTAGCTTTTGGTACTATTGATAAAGTCTTGGGAAGTAAAGTTTTGTGTCTAGAACATCTGAAATTAATTTTCATTACTAACATACATGTCTACCATTTATTTTCATCTGCTTATTAGTAGTCATTATGCTTTTCGTTATTACAGGTTGCTGGAAAGATCAAGAGCAGACAGTGAACGATTTCACAATCCTCTCTGAAGACAGGGAGAATGTCATGTATTTTGATAGGCTAAGCAGAAAAATAAACATATTATAATAAACTATTTTTAATACTATTTTTCTTACAATATTTAATGTATTTGTATTGCAATATTGTATTAAAAATATTATTTTTATTATTTTTAATACAATCAACATTTTTGATTAGAATACTTAGGAATTAAATTATCGACAGTTTGGAGAAAACAATATTAACATGCCTTATTATAAACACAAATACATTATGTCCTCTCAATTTAATTGCTACTAAAATGGTTATTATCATGTTTTGTTTATGGATTTATTTAAAAAACTGTGATAGGTGGGTATTTAATTTTCAACATTTAAAAGCGTAAGAATGTGTAGTATAATTCAACCGATTTCAAAAACTTTTACTGCCAAATTCCAAAATCCGTGATGATACATGCTGTTTGTACTCACTTTTCTACTTCACATTTGATTGTACATGTGCATTTACCTATTATAATTAGGAATACTGTCTACCATTTCTACAATTCACTGCTCGTCCTTGCTTAAGCCCGTCGCAAAAGAGGAGAGTCTCAGATTACAAAACAATAGGCAGGTGGAGTATACGCAACAAACGAAGTGAAGTGACTTTTCATTTATTGTGTGCGTGAAAACTAGGAGGGGTGCTGTAGGGGTAAGAGTCGGAATGGCGGGTGTACCTTAACGGATCCTGACAAATTTGGTATGAAAAAAATGTACCTAATTTGTACTATTTAGTACCAGTGTTGGGCAAAATTTAATTGTTCAGGCAATTAAAGATTGACAATTAATTAATTGTCAATTGCGACAATATCACTTAACAAATGATTAATTGTTAATTGCGATAACAGCAATTAATCAATTGTTAATCGCGTATATCTACAATTAACAATTTATCAATTTTAAATTTTTACAATATTTTTGATTAACAATTAAAACTGACAATTATGATAAATTTATAGGGTATATAAAAGTTCTTAGGTTTTCGCGATTGTTATACATAGGAATGAAACTATTTTTCCGGATTTAAATCGCGTATATTTGTTTTTTCAAACAAATATACGCGAGTCAACCGTGACCATGGGACCTGTAAAGGGCCCGAAACGTCGGTTTGTTTGAAAAAACAAATATACGCGATTTAAATCCGGAAAAATAGTTTCATTCCTATATATAAAAGTATTGAAATAAATATATATGTATTGTATGTAGCAAGTAAAAGACTAATATCATCATTGCCTCTGTGGTCGAATATAGTATTTGGGGGTGCTTTCGTAACGAATATGGCATTCGTTTCTAAATCCAAGATGGCGGGCATGACTTTTCAAATAATGGCAAGTTGGGTATCGTTTTCGAGGTATTTGGGGGTGCTCATTACGAATATAGCACTTATTTCTAAACCTAAGATGGCGGACACGATTTTTCAAGTAAAAGCAATATGGGTATCATTTTCGAGGTAATTGGGGGTGCTTATTTTTATTTTTATTTATTTATTTATTTCAGGCAACTAGGACCCATAGATACATACCTTACAGACACCTAACATACAGATAATATAACAATAATATAATAAAACAATAACAAATATTAAATAAATACCTTACGGACTAATCATAAATACAATATAACATGATAATATACATATAACACTATTTATTTACACGTATGTACTTCGACGTGTGACGCAACGTGGGTGTCCGGTAGCCGTCCTCGGAAACGCCGGTACATGACACCCTTCGGCCAAAAGTCTTCTCTCATGAAGGTCGACAGGTGTTGAGTTGGTACTCGCACCACAAATGAATTAAAATTCACATTGTGGCGCGACTCCAACCGCTCGACCCTCAGGTTTGCGTTGGCCTTCACTCGCATGTACTCCACAATACCCGCAGACTTGGTGGAGTAATCAGACATCAAAAGACAAAAAAATACTCGGTGACACATGCATGTGAGCCGACTCAAAACTGCTGAAAGAAGCATTTTGCGCCCCGCGACAAGTGTTCACGTTGCAGGCCTCAGGTGACCTACTTACCGAAGCCGCACTACTAAGTAATACAACTTGGGCACGCAACTCACTGATGGTGTTGTCTGAGGCCTCCAATTAACACTGAACTTCAGCAAGGCTTGCTTTTAGGGACGTGATGTCCTTCAGCAGCCTGGTGACGTCGACGTGGTCGAACGTGACAGGGGGCAGCTTATGCAGCTCCTTCGCCACGAATGCAGGCACGTCGTCTGGGTCGGTCTCCTTGAACAACGTAATAATGTCCTGGAGACTCTTCGCTCCTTCATCTCTCCGGCGAGACGGCATCTGCTCGGCTTTGCCAAACGTCCGGAAAAGCAGCGCCTTGCCACTGCAAATCTCTTCTTGTTAATACATACCATAATATGTAGGCCTTACGAATAAACTAAGTGTGTATTCTATTGTCGGTGTTTTATTGTGATTCGTAATATTTCTAATAATATAAACGAAACTTGGTTACGGGAGGGTGAAACAGATCGTGTCCCGGCGGTGCCAGGCTATCGACTGAGGCATGTCACGCGACCACCCGAGCTGCGCTCGCGCGGAGGCGGCGTAGGATTTTACGTTAGTCGAACTATTTCTGCGAGCACCGTGCCTCACCCTCCCTCACCCCGTGTTGAACAGATGTGGCTTCGTCTAGTCTTTTGGAAGCTATGACCGATTAATAATTTTAGGTAATTTCAACACTGATTCTATGAACACGACAGATAGGTATTACAAATGTTTAACTGAATTTCTGACTTTATTTTCACTACGACAAATAGTTAAGGAGCCGACACACTACACTGACCGTAGTCAGACCACGATCGACCTAATATGCAGTAATGCGAAAATACATAGTCTCCACGTGCACTATATACCCGATCTTGGACGACACGCTTTTATTACTGTTCAACTGGACGTTAGGAAAAACAAGCCCTCACCACGTCTCTTGACTTTTAGACTTCTAACTAGCATCGATATACCATTATTTGAGAATGACGTTGCATCTATTGACTGGGACTCCATTAAGTGTGTTCCGACAACACTTGAGATTTTAACGATTGTGGTTAATAAAAGCATCGAGACCAACACTTTTCCGACTGACTGGAAAACAGCACAAGTAATCCCTCTGCAAAAGTATTCTAATCCTTCCACCTTCACTGAACTTCGTCTTATCAGTATACTTCCTTGCATGTCAAAGATAATTGAAAAGGTAATGCGTAGACAGTTTTCGAGATGTCTGGAGCGGGCCAATATTTTACCAGTTTTTCGTAGAGGTCGAGGCACAGCAACAGCACTGCTAGACGTGGTTGATAATATTTTGGCTGCACAGGATGTTGGGAAGAGCACGTTTCTGGCGCTATTGGACTTCTCCAGGGCTTTTGATAGTTTGAGCATACCTCTTATTATCTAAGATGTATTATGGTTTTGACACCAAAACAATTCAATGGTTTGATAGTTATCTTTCGGATCGGGCTCAAATAGTCGCGCTGCGTACGGTAAATGGTGCCACTGTGTATTTTTCTCTTCGCTCTGTGAATAGAGGCGTCCCTCAGGGTTCTATTCTCGGGCCTCTACTGTTCATACTATACACTGCAGACATAATTACTAGTTTGAAAAGTTGTAGCTACCATCTGTATGCAGACGACTTGCAGCTGTATATATCGGGTAAGCCGTCTGATGCCATTGCTTTAGTAAATGACATCAACGCCGATCTCAATAGTGTAGCGGCGTGGTCGAAAGGAATTGTCTTGTATTGAATCCAAGTAAGTCCAAGTACACGGTACTTGGAACAAAAGTGCAAATACGTAATACACAGGAAGCCCTTGCCTCCGACAGTGTTGCGATTATGGGTAAATCAGTAGAACGGGTCGATAAAGTCAGAAACTTGGGAATATTGATGGATATTGAGCTTCGCTTCGAAGAGCACATCCTCAATGTAACGAGTAACTGTTTTTATCAACTTAAATTATTGTATAATATACGTGATTACCTTAGCGTGGATTTGCGTGTCTACCTTTGTGAATCACTGATAATATCTCGACTGAACTATTGTGATGTTGTGTATGGTAGATCTAAGAGGTTAATACAACGTGTACAAAACGCAAGCGCACACTTTTGCTTCCGAGTGCCTCCTAGATCCCATGACACTCCGTATTTGAATGCTGCAAACCTGTTAAATATGACAGCACGTCGTCAGTTGCATCTTTCTGTGTTGCTGTTCGGTGTAGTCAGAACCGAGATGCCCGAGTACCTCTATCGTAAACTTGGTTGGTCTCAGAACTGTTTTAAGCACAAGTTTCGGGCTGTCGTTCCTGCTCACCGCACAGTGATGATTACAACTATCATTTTTGTAATTATATTAGTAACTTTAAGTAGCTATATTCGTTATTTATACCGGGTGGTAAATTTGTAATGCCACCTGGAGGGAAAGTACTCTAAATACTGGAGATAGAAATTTTTACTTAAAGGAAACATTCCTTTATTTTTTAAAAGAAATAAAACTGCATTCATAGATTTTCGAAAATTTCTAGGAACTCGCGGGAATTGAACCCGCTTTAATCTGAAAAAAATGCACCCTGCACTTTTATTGCATCGATCGAAATGAGCTCCATTTTCTTGGATACACAAATTTAATCTTTTAACGAATTCATTTTGAGTAACTTTTAATAACGTGTTGTGATGAATTGTATTACAAATCGTATTCTGAGTCTTCAACTCGTTTACACTCGCATAGGATTTAAGGTAAATTTGATTTTTAACATATCCCCACAAAAAAAAATCTAAAGGGGTGAGATCTGGTGATCTCGCAGGCCATCTGATTGTGCCGTTTGTACCAATCCAGGTATTAAAATGGTTACTAATGCAGGCAGTAGTGACTCTGCTGTTATGGGCTGGAGCGCCATCTTGCTGCAGAATTACTCGATTTCGCTATTCCTCGGATAAAACATTTAATTCATTTCTTAAGAGATCCAGTATTTCAAGATACTTAACAAGTAATCTGATGGACCTTTGAGTAAAAGTGCTTTAACTTGACCCATTGAATTTATAACTCCAGATTTCATGGTTTGTAAGAGAGATTTCATCCTCATAATTGACCCTATCGTGTGTGCACGCGTACGCGCACGCGCACACAACTTGTTATTTTTATGAAGTAAGAATTATCGCGTATTTTGCTCCGTGACCTCACTTAGGGTCCTAACTGAAAATCAGTGCTGGGAACGCATTGCGTTTTCCAGCAAATACTGAGTTAATGACCCTTTTGCCACCACAGGTGGCACCACACAAAGTATTTTTATACGTAGTGTCTTATATTTAATTATTAAATACTCTGTGGTGTAATTTACTTTTCGTTTTGTTTGTGATTTTGTTCCGTAATTATTTATTTGTGCCTCAAGAATGAATGTTTTTTTTAATTATGGCCTATTTTTTTGTTTGTTTTCTGTTTGTTCTTGTATTGTTTTTCTCATTTTTATTGTTTTTTTTCCACTGTGTTGTTTATTTCCTTTGTTTTTTAGGATGGATTGTTTACTTTATTTTATTTTTTCTGTGTGGTGTCATTTGTGGTGTGCAAATAAATGAATTTTCTTTCTTTCTCTTTATTTTACCTTTTAGAATATAACTTTTTGTACATTCGATGTTAAATGTTTGTACTAAGCAGCAAAAGTGTCAAAAGTTCAATAAATAGTTGCAAATTGACACTGAACTTTTGACTCCTTCAAAGCCACGGAAAAAACACCCATCACATATTTCCATTAAAATAATAGAAATAAACTCGCCTTTTAAGCGATGATGTAAAGGTGTACCTACCTACGAGTACATATCGCTTCTGCCGCGGCCATCCGTCCGAGCCAAGGCTTCAGGAAGTATGGTTAAATCAATTGTAGGTAATGTAGGTACCTCACTTAATGTACCAAGTACTCTTTGAATCAATGCCTTCACGTCGTCGCTCGGAGCGTAAGGTTGTCATATTATTATTTTGTTGTAAAACATTATTTGGAAGAAAACCAAGGTATTCATAAAACACCGAGTGAACTACAATTCATTATAACGAACGGCGCGTGCGACAAGGATTCGCGATTATGCGAATGTGTGCGTCCGTAGAAGGCGCGCTGTTGCGTTTGTATGGGGTTGTCACTATTTGCCTCTTATTTTATTATGCTTCAGACTTTTCCATCCTCTAAGGCTTGCTTAGACTATTTCCATCCTCTAAGAAGGCTTCAGATGTGACTCGGTAGGTGTTAGAGACAGAACTCACGAAGCGATTTTGACCCGCGCCCGCCGCGGTTGCGGGACCTCACGATAGCACAGGTTTCTGCGGTCACGTAGCCGCCGCGGTCGCGGAACGGCCCGCAAACTTGGCGGGAGAGGACAGCAAGGCGCGCGGTTATTTACGATCGATTGAGATCGTCAGTTAAGTCTCAGACGTCGCCATGGACTCACATCAAAAACGAGCTATCGAGTTATACTTATTTCATCGAAGAACTAAAAGAAGAAGGCCTAAAAGATTCTGGGTGAACCTCTGATTCAGGAAAGAAATCGTTACGGATATTCGTTATTCATCAACATCCATTTTGTTTGAAAGTTGACACGCGCTGTCAAATCGAAAATCAATCAAAACAACAAAATGGCGTGGTAAGGAAAGACCCAACAGGCGCGATCGGGTGACCGCGTCCGCGCGCGGTTTGCGGCCGCCGCGAGCAACCGTCTCCGCTGCGGGCGTAAAACGCGTCGTGAAATGTGTTACTAAATTTTGCATACATTTCTACATTCTTCGGGTGAAAACCGTTCCATGAGTTTTTAGCCTTAGGGTGCTAAAATATTTTTTTTGTAGAATATGATAACTTAGTTTCTCTGTGACAGACATTTGCGTTAATATCCATAGCACAGAAATTTCAGTTTTTTTCTATTCTCTTTGCATAATACCTATCGCAAAAATGCTTTACCGTCATAGACAAACTTATGTACCTATACTTCTAATATATTTGGTTGCCGTTGCGTAGTACATACACACCTAAGTTAAAATAAATTTTAATTGCTTTCTATTAAATTAATAGTAGAAGATTTTCAACAAATATTGAGCGGTCAATATTAATTAGGCGGATGCTACAGTGGCAGCTCATTTTCAATCCGGCTTTATGAAACATAAACATGTAAAGTAAAAATTACACAACGCGACCGATTACTCGCATTTTAAAATTTAATTTTGAACGTAATCATTCATAGTGGTAGCTGAAATCAAGTACTCAATAATGAACAAAGAAATTTCAGTAGAAAAAGTGGCATCGCACAAATTTGATAAGAAAAACAAATCGTCGGTGTGTTGGATAATCATACACAATACTGTTTATGATGTGACAAAGTTTCTGAAAGAGGTAGGTGTACTACTACTAAAAATGAAATGAATAAATGAGAGAAATAAAACAATCTTTACGATTGTTTGATTTCTTTATAGGTCTGCTTGAACGGTGGGGCACTTTCGGCACAAGCCGTGGGTGCATGATCTCAGGTCTCGTGCAGCTTTGAAGAACCAGCGCGGGTACAGACGGCTTGCTCAATACCGCGATTTGTTGTTGGGAGTGGCGATGAGTAATTGCTGCCTAATTAGTTTTACTTGTTCATTGCCTTCTACTACACTTGTACTTGGGTTCTACTCATTGCTTCTCCCTCCAAGGATCTTCAGCAACAGGATTGTTCAGCGGTATCAAACCGTGTATACCTACCTTCAGGACTACCTACCTATCAGGACCTATTTAAGAATTTTACACACCTATATTTTTTATATTCGTCCATTTGTTATAGCATCCCGGCGGTGCAGATTGTCTGATAAAATACTCTGGACAAAACGCCACACAGGCTTTTGAAAATAAGGGCCATAGTGCTGAAGCCAGGTACTTTTATGACATTATTTGAATTTCAAAATTATTACAATGTATTTGTTGTAACTCCTAGCCGTCCCAATGCTGGGCTTGACTCTACTCAGAAGACCTGCTTTGGGCAATAGTCAATCGTGATTGCAATAAGAAGGTTGGGGACTTGACACCTACCTATTTCAACAATTTTAAACCTTCTCTTATAGGCAAGTTTCCTCGTAATTTTTATTCACTGTTAAAGCTGCTACCTAAAAACTGCACATGATTTTTTTTGGTTTGTACTATCAATGTCTTTCCCAGCATTGAACTCGGAACTCCGCTATAGAAGGCGGGTGATCGCCCAAGGAGCACACTTTATACGCCTTAAAACTATTATATCTATAAACAGTCTTAATATGGTATAGATTTAGATAATAGTTCTCTATAAATGGTTTTAGAAAAAAGAAATTGTTCTTATCTACTTATTTCACTCAAGTCCAAATTTTAAAACCTTCTTAATACCAAACAACTTAATTAAATGTAATCTTTCTTAAGATTTATTCTTATAGTCCTTATTTTAAGTTCATCTGTAGAACAACTGATTATTTTTAGTAAAATTGTTCTATACACATCCAGTAAAGTCTATTAATACTCTAAAAACTAGTGTTCTTAAGTTTATTCTAGATATATTTAATTTATAGACATTCTGTAGTGTTGGTACTTATTGACAAATACGTTATAGCGTCTTCAGTAGATTTTATTTTAAAAAATACTACAATTAGGACAATTAGGGTTTTTACTCTATTGGACGTTGTAAGAGTTCGTGCAAAATGGATAAATGTGAGCCTCGTAATCTCTTGGTCTCCTTATGGATGAACAGCTACGTTTTGAAAAGCATGTGTCAGGCGTGATTAGAAATTGTTTCTATAGATTAAAAGTGTTATATAATATAAGAAATAACCTTAATGAGGTCGTTCGGATCAAATTATGTGAATCACTGGTACTCTCTAAATTTAATTACATGGACATTGTGTATGGGCCACGACTATTACAGAGCACGCAACAAATGATATAACGAGTGCAAAATGCCTGCGCGAGGTTCATCTTTAACATACCACCACACACGCACGTAACCCCTTACATGAACAATGCAAATATTTTAAAAATGAAAGCGCGAAGAGATCTGCATCTAGCTACACTTCTGTTTGGGGTCATAAAATACAGAGTTCCGCCTTATCTAGCCGAGAAGTCGATGTGGGCCCGCGACTTAAAAACTGCCTTCACCAGAGCATCAGCTTGGTCACTGGTCCTGCCGCGCTGTCGCACTACCGCATTCCGCGGTAGTTTCAAATTTGTCACAGCGAAGATATGGAGTGTATTGCTGCCGCCGCCATTACTAGTCTGAAATCAGTGCACACGTTTAAAAGCAAACATAAAAAACACATTTTAGATATCCAAAATAATACAGTTTAAGTTAACCTGAGCACTTACCGCACTGTTTTCGACTAAAGGTATTGGTCCGCGGCAGTAATCGTTCTCTTTGCTTTATTTGCGGAATGGGACATGAGGTGGCGGGTGCGCGAGGATGCGGCGAACGCGCACCCGCTTCGGCGCAGACGTACGGGGAGAAGGCGAAGGCAGTTCGCTGCTCGCTTGATCCCCTAGGGAGGCCAGCGGGCTCTGGGCAGAGACTCCGGAGCCTGCATTGCACGGCCTCACTCGTCTGGGGGGGGACAACTGACCTGCTCCTCCGCTGGCGCGGGAGCCCTCGTGGTGAATGTGCACCGACCCCACAGCGTCGAATCAACCGGCGGGAGGTAAACCCGGGGGGGTTTTAGTGGGGTAGGCCCTCCAGTGTGGAGGGAGAGTCCCCACATAATCCCTGAGTCTCCCTGGGCTTAGGGATATCTATAAAGATTTCCCACCCGTAAAAAAAAAGGCCAAAACTACGTTAGAAAACTCATTTCAAAAATTGGTTCTACCGGTAATGAAACGCGGGAACTTCTCATCCACGCAATAATATTTGCATGTATTATCTACAAATAGCTTAAACACGACCACTCATCCATAAAGTATTAGATTCAACAATAATCTGCAATCAGTCTTTGAAAAAAAAAACATTTTTCTTTGCCTTACAAAATTAAGTAAATTAATTACTTGTTGTGCATTTGGTGACACTATGTTAATGTTAGAAATAATCAATGAGTTTCGACCTATATTTAATATTTAAAGTTGACGAGTGGTAAGTTGTGGTGTGGAAGTACCAACTAACTGCCCTGCTTTGTTTATCAATAGTTGATTTCATTTTGCTTCATACCGGGGACCGGCCTAAGCGGTAATTTTAAGCGGACTGGTAATTTTGCAATTCAGAACCAAGTGCTCTAATCATAATTCTATTTAAGCTGCTTGTTAATAATACGAGGGATGTACGATGTTGAAAAACACGTCGATATAGTTCATCACAGTGTTTCTAACAGTAACGATCAAACTAGCGACGCATCAGCAATTGATAGATTAAACAAAATGATGAAATGTTAGAATCCCCACATTTTCCTCACATAGCGCCAATCCCACAAATTGGCAACACTGGATACAATAGTCGTAATTCGCGCGCGAGCCGGTCCTGGCCGGTCATGTTTGTTGACAAATAAATAAGAAGTGATAAAAACAATTGAAATGTGAAAATTTTATTTCTTCCAAATAAGTTAGGTATGTCATTAAAATATTCCTTATATTTATATGATAGGGAATTTATCCACCTTTCTAGTCATATATAACACATTTCATATAATTATACAGAGTAACGTTTTTTTGCGACAAATGGGATTTTTTAAATTGTTTTTGAAGTACCTAGTGTTTTGAAAAATTTTTTATTGCATAATACGCTCACTATTCCCTATAACTTTTATGAAGGTTTTCTAATACTGTCAAGAGAAAGAATCTCTTAGAAACATCGCGTTTTGTAGACAATTATAAAAGCTTCATAGGAGTGATTATTCTTCTACACTAAAACAAGTAAAAATAATCTTTTCGTATTCTAAAGTATTTCTATAGATAAAGCTATAGACAAAATGCTCCCAACAGTGTTTTGAAAAAAGCTTTAAATTCTTATCGCCATTTTTATTTTTAAAGAATGACTATAAAGTAGCCAAAAAAAATTTCTTTTCTTTTTAAAAATTAAATCAAAGTAGAAATTAGCTTGAAGAAGCCTAGAACTTCTTGGAAATGGTTTGTTTTGTGAGTTATTTTGTATATTTAAGCTTTCTATTAATATTTAAAACAGAAAATCGATAACTGTATTTATATTAAGTTTATATTCATAGTTTCATTTCCTATGTGTAACAATCGCGAAAACCTAAATATAAATATAAATAAATAAATAAATTTCGTTTATTTCTCCTTCCACAAATATTACTTAAAAAGAGATATTAAATCTAAGATGACAATTTCAATTACAAATTACATTTGTGGAAAGCTGGAGCCTAAACTAAATCTATGATTTGTATTTTAGGTTTCCAGGCCTCCCAACTCAGATTTCAGTTAATTACATTTATTGTTCGGTAATATGTAGAACTTGTAGAAAAGAAGATACGCATGAGTGTGTGTGTGTGTGTGTGTGTGTGTGTGTGTGTGTGTGTGTGTGTGTTTGTGT